TCTCTGAGTCAGTCACTACACATGCTAACACTAGTTAGTACTTGGCAGGAAACCTGCCTGGAAATACCAGTCGTACCTGGAGAAATCCTACAAATTACAGAATTGTAACGATTCACTCTCCTGACATGCAATCAATTGTTGAGTTTCATGTCTATGATTTAATTCATGTTTTTTTATTTATTTACGTTGTAAATATAGCGGCCCTCCGTGGCTAACACGTGTGGATTGTGAACTTGAAACGATCCACCGATTACTGGGAAATGAGTCAATACAAATCATCCCACGAAATAATAGATCAACCAATTGGCTAAGTTATTCTTTCATTATGTCATGAACCAGTTCCTTAATAATTATTTGGCACGACCTTACATATCTCGTCTTGTTTGTCCATGGCTCAGACTGGCAGTCCTGCAATTTCCACTTTTGGGCTCAGGCTGAGTTTGAATTTGGGGGGGGGGGGGGTCGGTCGGGGCGTTAAAAGTCTGGAACTGGCAGAGCAATTTGCCATGCACAGAAGCGTGGAGCAGCAACATGATCCCGTGACTTGCTGCCTGACACACACAGTCAACTTCACATCATTATGCAACAGGAATGACGCCAACAAAGAAATATGGAATTCCAAAGGCAATCGTGCAAAGCCAAGCGCAAGAAGCCTTGTTAGGTGCTATAACGTTTTTTTTTATTCGCTTACCTTTCCTATACTTTGCACTCCTATCGTGTTTGTATTGTTTGTTGTTGGAACTTTCTGACCCCGTGCCCCTTGAGTCCCGTTTAATCCTCCACAGGCCTTACATGTTTTACATAGAGACAGCTTAAAATGTGCTGCTGTTCATCACTTGCATTTTAACTTTCACATTTGGTATCGTTGGTCAATGTTACAATTCCACGGTGTTCTGGTTTCCGCACTCCCTGTCCTCACACACTGTGTGTACGTGCACAGCCCTTTTGCCGCCAGTCCACTGCTGGACGAGTGCCTCCCAGCAGCCTGCCATCCGTGGGGGGTTATTTGACCATACTTCACCACACTGGTCAGTAGGGGCTGAAGGCAGCGAGCAAAGGTGGAGCATTGTAGTACAGCAACAATGCATTTGCTGCACCGCCCTACAATGTAGCTCTGCAGCAACCTATAGCACCTGCTGGTGGTCACCCATGCAAGCACTATCCATGTTCAACCCCTGCTTAGCTTTAGAGATCCGATGGAGATTGGGTGCATTTTGGGTGCTTTGGTCATAGGCTTTCTTATACTTTAACAAGCATGAACATGCATTATTGGGTTGTCTGGTGCTGCTCATGGTCAGATTTAACCGTACACCCTATCACACCTATGACACATCAATGGACTTTTAAATAATCCACGTAGACACCCGAATGAGCGTAAGGGAAAGGAGTACAATGCCACTGCAGAACAAAAATAAAAGTAGTTCCAGCAAAGCGGTTAGCATCGGGCGGCAGGGTAGCGCAGTGGTCACACACCTGTGACTCGAAGCGTGCCTTTCTTTACGCGTGGAGTTTGTATGTTCTCCCTCTGCTCTCTATGGGTTCTTTGGTTTTCCTAATATTGACCAAAACATCCAAACTGTGAAGTTACAATCCCTGCAAATTACTCAATTGAAAGTGCCCGCAGCGACATCACCCCACCACCACCCGTCCTACCGAGAAAAACTCGGCAGGACCCTCCTAAAAAAAGTCTTGAGACTCAGCGAGGCTTTCCTGGCAAACACGCGCAAAAAAGAAAAAATGTGTTGGCAAGTAAAATGCCAAATGTATTCAAACCGTAAAACTTCGTTGCCATGTTAATCTCCAAAGTTAAACTTTATCACTGGCAGCGTAATGTACATTCTCGGTTTTATTGTCTTATGAGGACAGCGTTTGGCTGTGTCAGCATTCTGCGTTGTTTTCTTTCTTTTTACTTTTGTGGGTTAACTCCTGAACCGGACCGCCTAGGGTTTGTCCTGTGGGGGTCAAACGAGACGGTTAAATAATCTAATCGTGGCAATTCAAATTGCTGCGAGGGTTGATGGGGGAGTGAATCATTACTCATCTCATCTTCTCTGTAACGCTGTTACCCGTGACTGATATCGTCCACGAAAACTCATTCTTAAATCGACAATTATCCACTATTTTCCCCCGTCCATCTTTGTGGAGAAATTTCCTATTCTCCGCAAATGTTTTTTTTCACAACAGGTGTCACGTAGGAAAGTAATCCTATCATCCACAATGTTCCACCCATGGATAAATCAGCAAGAGTAAATTTGCGGACAAGATGATCCCTGATGTCCGTCCCGCACGTCACCGCGGATAAGACTGGGTTCTTCCGGATAAAATAAATACAACAATCATTCGGTGCTGGTTGCTTCGAGAAGGAGTTGGTGAGACCTTGGCATTGCTGAACTTTTGTATCAAATTTATCGAGGTGGGTGGGTTCTCGCTTCACATATTTGGCCCACCTCATCCGAGCGCCTAATCAGGATAGAGCCACTCCCCACCCCCCCCCCCGTGACTTGACCTCTTGCATTCCAAAGTACAACTGCTTCGGAATGCAAGGAACACGACTAACGCCAGCGTCATATCGATAACACCTCTAATCGAGATATAATAATAATAAAAATGCACTTTATAACGCCCACAATATTCCACAGACATATATGACCACGACTCCGAGGTGCGTAGCTGAGAGCTCAGCGTCGCTTGGAATCCAGGCGTAAGACTTGGGTGGGGCTTTTAAGCGTCTCCTTATAGATGGATTAATGGTAGGGGGCTTGTGCTTTACAGGTGGTTTAAATGTTTGTGGTTGGGAGACGTAAATAGTTGAGTGACTCAGCAGATGAGACGGTAAGTTTGTACAGTGCCAGGAGGTGGCGGTGCATTGAGACGCTCCAAATAGATTAGATTTTTTACGTTGGTATGTCCCATCTAACAATTGTAAAAAATCAAAATAAATGATGATGTAATAACGTGCCTATCGACCACACTCTTGCTCGAATTGTAACAATTTCTACAGGTGATGCTTAACTTAAAAAATAAATCTTAATCAATCAGAAAAAAAAATCTCCAAGGTCTGCTGGGGTGTTTTTTTAAACAGGAGCCCCCACAAGAATGTAAACATGAAACAATTTACGAGATGAAGGAATGCGCTTCAACGCCCATCTGCTGATTTACTATCTCAAAAAGCAGATAAAAGCTGTATAACAACCGCCACAATAATAATAGAAGGAACATATACTGTGGTTAAAGCAGACATTCCTAACAGAGGGAATTCTCGCCAGAGGGGCACAGAGATGGGAGGACATGGAAAGGCGACCAGTCTCAATGCCATTCAAGAAACGCGTTCAATTCTCATTTGTGATATGATCGTTGGCACTCTTGATTTGCCGGCTTCTTTGTGTTGGAGGTCTTTGGGCCTGCGGTCAAAAACTACAAAAAAAGTTGGGAATATCAAGACATTCCAGTTTCCTCCCACACAGTTTTTTTTTACGTTCACAGCCCCTGGACACCAACTCCTCTCTCTCTCTACCAGCATGGTTGGGGGGAGGAGAGGTATTTTCTGGAACTCAGCCCTGGTACAGCTTCAGCTGAACTGTAGCCCTGCCATATGAGTTATCGTGAGCCACCGCAAACCCTGAGGAAATGTCGCAGCAGTCGGTGGCCTCTATTCAGTCAACAACTGAGCAGCTCTGTAACTGCCTCCGTTTACACTGAATGTGTTGCAGAGGTCTGCATGCGTGTTTGCTAATTGGCCTTTTGGTGTTTCACACAACCACGTAATTTGCCGTGGGCCCCTGCTTAAGTGAGTACTTGTGAGCACATTAGGTTGTCCCGAAACAACCCCGGGTTACGATTGCAGCTCAACAGGCCTCTCTTTCATCGCCGAACTCCAGGATCCGCTCACATGTCAAGCCACTTAATTAAGCTGAATACACATCTGTTAACTGATTTAAACTGTAATCTTGATGTGATATTTTTGAATTTTACATGGAAAACACGCACACACGCACCTACGACAAATCCCCGTTTAGCCTTGTAGATCCGAAAAGCAAATGCCGTGGAATGAGAACCTATTAAGGCCAAGAATACCCACTTACATGCATTCCATTACTGTATCGTGTGTAGGGGAAGTTTCCAGCTGGCTGAAAGTAGTTTCCAGATCTCTCGCAGCACATTCATGGATTCTTGAGCACTGCAAAGTGGATTTTCTCTGGGCACTCCAATTTCCTCCCAGACAAAGTTCTGGAATTGGCCGAACATCCAAATGTAGCAGGAGCCTACTTCAGGGGTGTTGAGATTCAGTGAGACTTTCTCAGGCAAATACGGTCAACGGCATTCGTATTGTGTCTATGTGTTATGTCTACCTATCCCGTGTCTCCCCCTCTGTCCTTCCCACCCACGTCAGTCTGGTTTCATGTCTATGTCCCTCTGGTCTCTATCTCCCAGCATCTGTCCCACCGTGTCACCTCCCTGCATATTCATCTCCGTGATCTAAATCCCAGGTTATTTTGTCCCCATGTCTCGATTCCATGTCCGTGTCCCACTTATCGTTTCCCGATGTCTCTCCCGTGGCTGTACCGTCTTGCACAACAACAAAAAACCCAACTCTCCTGCATCCACTTTCATCTCCCGTCCGCATTAGCCCGGGTTAATATCTGCGTCAGTGTCTCCTGGGCGACTCTCTTGTCCTGACGTCGTCTCAGTGTCATCAGCTTGCCCTGAAGCAAACTCAAAATTACGTGGAGAACATAAACACAAATAGATCATTATCTATCTTGTCTGATTATAATCTGACACGATTTACCCTCCGTATAATCCGTCTCTCTCCGAATTACACGAATAAAAGTATCCCTTACCCAACCCATCTCCCCTTAGTGATCTGCCTCCTTCCCTCCATGAAATGAGTGATGGAGATGATTGATGAGAGTGGGATGCTTCTCTCTCTCTCCGCACCACCGTGACTCGAGGCACATCAAGACGGAGGCGCCAGTGGACGGCCTCCTCATGAATAAGTGATGAGGAAGATGACGACGGAGCCTGGGGGGGGTGGTGGTGGTGGTGGAGGGGGCTTGAATGAGGGCTGGGATGACACCCACACACCGTCAGTGGAACTCCTCCAGAGTCGCGAGAAGTGAGCGCAGAGGGAAGGAGGCGGCACGGGGACCACGGGCCGAGTACACACGCGTGAGTAGAGTACACACGTGTAACTACAGAGCACACACACGTGTGATAGAGTACACACGTGTGAGTGCTCTGTAACTACAGACTACACACGAGTACCCTGCCAGGGAGCGTGAGTACTGAGGATGTGTGTAGTGTGTGTGCGTAGTGTATGTGCGTAGTGTGTGTGTGTTGTGTGTGTAGTGTGTGTAGTGTGTGTGTGGTGTGTGTAGTGTGTGTGTGGTGTGTGTAGTCTGTGTGTAGTGTGTGTGCGTAGCTTATGTGCGTAGTGTGTGTGTAGTGTGTGTGTATTGTGTGTAGTGTGTGTATAATGTGTGTAGTGTGTGTAGCGTGTGTGTGTAGTGTGTATGTGTAGTGTGTGTTGGGTGTGTGTAGTGTGAATGCAGTGTGTGTGTAGTGTGTGTGGTGTGTGTGTAGTGTGTGTGTGTAGTTTGTGTGGTGTGTGTAGTGTGTGTGTGTGTAGTGTTTGTGTAGTGTGTGTGTGTAGTGTGTGTGTAGTGTGTGTGTGTGGTGTGTGTGTGTAGTGTGTGTGTAGTGGTGTGTAGTGTGTGTGTGTAGTGTGTGGTGTGTGTGTGTGGTGTGTGTGTAGTGTGTGTGCTGATGCAAAAGGTTGTGTAATAGAGTAATAGTGAGTTAAGCTGTACACACGTTCACCGTGTAAGCAGGATTGAATGCAGTGTGGTAACTATGAGCGTGTTGAGTGTGGTGTACTATCGACTGTATGACACTCATGTATCGCAAACAGTGACATTGGATGCAACTCAAGCAATTGAGTGTCGTGTCCAGGATTTAGAAACGTGTGTACTGCACTGCGTGATACATTGGGTGTATAATACATTGGCTGTGTACTGCATTGTCTGTGTACTGCATTGTCTGTGTACTGCATTGGATGTGTACTGCATTGGATGTCTACTACATTGGATGTCTACTACATTGGATGTCTACTACATTGGATGTGTACTGCATTGGATGTCTACTGCATTGGATGTCTACTGCATTGGATGTCTACTGCATTGGATGTCTACTGCATTGTCTGTGTACTGCATTGTCTGTGTACTGCATTGTCTGTGTACTGCATTGTCTGTCTACTGCATTGGATGTCTACTGCATTGGATGTCTACTGCATTGGATGTCTACTACATTGGGTGTCTACTACATTGGGTGTGTACTGCATTGGGTGTGCACTACAGTATTGTGAGTGTTGAGCAGGGATGGGCCTGGAGAGTTCTTGGATGAGTGACCACCGACTCCCACTCCCCCAAACGACCGGACACATTCGTCAATAACTCTGGCCTTAAAAGGAAAGATAATAGATCATAGGCGGCGTTTCAGGCAATTGACTTACTTCTTCAGCGCAGGCACCACGTTGTCTTAGTGGGCTATGCAAGGCTGTGTGTGTATATATATGGTGATTTAGCAGTGGGCAATGCAGCAAAAATCCATTGTTGTATTACACATCTATGGCCCCACGTCCGTCTATACAAGCCCGCGTTGGCCGGCATGGCGAAGTATGGTCGTATGAACCCCTTACGGCCCTATACTTGGGTGGAGGAGGCCCTCATCCAGCAGTGGATTGATGAATGGGCTGCATGGTGTGTGAAGGATGGGGCGTTAAGTGTGCTGTGATTGAGTGGTGTGTGTGGAATATGGATCACTCGGCGATTTCGATGGAGTCCGTCACAGTCTGCCTCGAGCACTTTGTCTGCATTGAATATGTATTGGGTACAGTATCGTTTACAAAGTTGTACGTGTATGGGTGAGTTATTGTACTGTTTAAAGTATTTTTACAAAATGTAACCAGGAAAACCTCTTGTCATTGTCATTATCCAGTGGCATGCGAGAGGAAAACAGGAGTACGCAGAGAAAACCCATGCAATGCGAGGACGTAAAGCCTCAGAAGCTCTGCACAGATGGATTCAATAATCCAATTCTAAGCTGCTATGTCTTGGCCAACTTTGCAGGCCGAGCCATCCAAACACGTAGCCCTTCCCAGGCAGCCTCCAGTCCACGCTACGTGCTGTAACTAGACCTGGCTCAAGCCAGATTAGCTTCTGAGTTATGACAAGAATCGGGAAAATTCATGGCGAATTGGTCATACGGAGTGGGTGTGTGTGCCCCAAGTTGAGTGTGTGTAGCGAGCAGTTGGTGTAACGTGGTTAGTATAGGGTGTGTACTTGGTGGATTGTGTTTGATGTAATGCAGAAAGTATTGGGTGTGGTAGCATAGGGGAGGGTCTGGACTTGTTGCTGCTGCAGTGTCACCTACGATACTGTAGTGCCAATGTTTACATCAGTTACACTCATGCACAGTGCAGCTGGTGGCTGTTGATGGCATAGGGTAACCATCATTGCTATTCCTACAGTACTACCGATTGTTTCCTTATTGCAGTGATTTACCTATTATCCGCTCTTTCTATTGACCGCAATCAATTATATATCTCATTGCAGCCTCTAACTCTTACACAACTCTAACTCTGGCCTCTCAATGTCATATTAAGGGCAATTGGCTGAAATATCACCTATTATATATTTTCGTGTCAAGGCCACCGTCTCCCTGTCAAGGCCACCGTCTCTCCGTCAAGGCCACCGTCTCTGTCAAGGCCACCGTCTCTCTGTCAAGGCCACCGTCTCTCTGTCAAGGCCACCGTCTCTCTGTCAAGGCCACCGTCTCTCTGTCAAGGCCACCGTCTCTCTGTCAAGGCCACCGTCTCTCTGTCAAGGCCACCGTCTCACTGTCAAGGCCACCGTCTCTCTGTCAAGGCCACCGTCTCTCTGTCAAGGCCACCGTCTCTCTGTCAAGGCCACCGTCTCTCTGTCAAGGCCACCGTCTCTCTGTCAAGGCCACCGTCTCTCTGTCAAGGCCACCGTCTCTCTGTCAAGGCCACCGTCTCTCTGTCAAGGCCACCGTCTCTCTGTCAAGGCCACCGTCTCTCTGTCAAGGCCACCGTCTCTCTGTCAAGGCCACCGTCTCTCTGTCAAGGCCACCGTCTCTTTGTCAAGGCCACCGTCTCACTGTCAAGGCCACCGTCTCTCTGTCAAGGCCACCGTCTCTCTGTCAAGGCCACCGTCTCTGTCAAGGCCACCGTCTCTCTGTCAAGGCCACCGTCTCTCTGTCAAGGCCACCGTCTCTCTGTCAAGGCCACCGTCTCTCTGTCAAGGCCACCGTCTCTGTCAAGGCCACCGTCTCTCTGTCAAGGCCACCGTCTCTCTGTCAAGGCCACCGTCTCTCTGTCAAGGCCACCGTCTCTCTGTCAAGGCCACCGTCTCTCTGTCAAGGCCACTGTCGCACTGTCCAGGCCACTTTCTCACCACCTCCTACCTTTGCTTATTTGCAGACGAAACAGCCATATAAAGCTGACAAATCTATTTCTGATATCCGAATGCAATGAGTCACCGGGATGTGTTGGCAAATTAACCCTATTGTGTTCATTTAACCACACTTTGTGTAGATACAAGGAATATATTGTGCGGACAATAGAATCATCCCTGTGCGCCCACCACATCAGGGTAAACGAGATGGAGGATTTTCATTGAAATCAAAGTGGATGGTTATTGAACGTGTTAGTTTTGGGTTGGGTGGTGCTGTGACGGCACTTCTATTACAATCAGGACGCGAGTTAAAATCTCAGTCAAGGCTCAATAATCATATTGCATGCTGGGTTGATAAAATGAGTACCATTTTATTAATTGACGGTCGAAGCCGCGAGTGGTATTCACACACAATGTCTTTGCGTGATCCACCAACCTCACATCCAAAACCCCGAATGACTGCCATGTGCCTTTTATCTAAATCACCTTTAGTGTGTCCGATCCCATCAGATCATGGCAGCTGAACAGGATTGCGCCTGGATAAGTGCTTGGGTGGGGTGACCACTGTGCATGTTACGTGCCACTTCGGCTCCGGGACTATTGTGTAGGTAGCAGAGGGCACGAAAGCTACATTTCTATTGTACTATACTCCAGTATTATGTTCCCCCATCGAAGCTCCTTGCCTGCATCAGGCCGCACGGACCAGCGTGAAGTAATATAACCCCCACGACCCACATGGCATGAAGATGGACGGCCCTGCTCCAGCAGTGCACTGATAAAAGGGCTGTACATGCCACGCGTGCACGCCAGCTACGTGGTCTATGTTTCGACACTGTGTGTCAGTGTCCGGGTAGGGGCTGCTGGCGAGTGCTTGAGATGGCTCCATCAGCTCTTGTACGCGAGTGCTCTTCTCATTGGAAGCATTTCTGAGTCTTCCCTTCTGCAAGGGGCGGCTGACAAGTCACTGGGCATACGGCAGATGGTCCTGGATAATTTTACTTCTCTGTACGGACACTGATTTTTAAAGCCTCTTGACATTTGCTTAGCAACTGGGAATTGAAATACGCGCTCGGCTGTGTTGTATTTGTGTGATTTGCAGTACTGTATACAGTATTAGGGAAACGCTACCAGCTGTTTTTGGTGCAGTCAATACAGTGCAACGTCGCATATCCAACCCTCTGGGGACTGAGGTGCAGTTTAGGTTAGATATGTGAAAAGTTTGAATTGAAAATGAGTCACAAACTGCTATGTACATTGGACGTTCCTTGACAATATGAAGGGCGTAAGCAAATGCGCGCAATGTCAAGAACACATTGCTGCGTGTGAAGAGGTCACATCTGTGAACATTTGTAGAAATGGAACCCATGCCATGCACCATGCTGGGTGTGGGTGGTTTTCATTGGCCAGGTATATTGTGGTCATGTGATGCCCAGATATGCGGGGTTCAGTAATGTTGGTTTTGTTGATTTGGGTTTTTTTAAGATTGGACTTACAAAATTTTAATTTCTACATTGGAGAAAAAGTGCCTGTGACATTTTAGTTAACAGCAAATAACTTTGTCTAGACACCTGTCCCATGGCATGCGGAGTTAGGAAGATGTGCATCCACGGTATATGGTACACCCACTCCAGTGGCATTTGTACAACATTTGGCCCCCAGCATGACAAATGCAGAGAGTATGAGCACATCACGCCC